GATTTTCATTCATTCACTGTTGCACTTTTCTTCCCTCCCAACCTTCCCCCAGTACACTACCGTCTTGGGAAAGTAAAAGAAAAATTCTTTCATTGTTTTACAATCCCTCCCCCCAGGTCCACTCCACTATACAGCCTTCGCTCTGGACTCCTGTCATGACAAAAATATCTAATAATTTCCCTCTTAAACAGTTTTCTCCCTCATCTGTTTCAATGTAGTATACATTGTTTAACCCATCTTTCTCAGTCTCCTCCCAACCCCAATGTCAGTCCTGCTTTACAACAGTGGCACCATGCAGTATTTGTCCTTTTGTGACTGAGATACTTCATCAGCATAATGTTCTCCAGAGTCACCCATTTTGAATAATATTGCATGAGTTCCTTGTTTTTCAATGCAGAGTTGTATTCCATTGTGTTACTAGACCACAGCTTCTCTAACCATTGTTTGTTGATGGACACTTAGGTTGTTTCCAATCCTTGCTATTGTGAACAAAGTCACGATGAACATGGGTGTGCATATATATGCTTGGATGTCAGTTATGGTCTCTTTGGGGTATATTCCCAGCAGTGGAATTGCTGGGTCAAATGGTATCTCTATTTGCAACTTTCTGAGAAAGCGCCACACAGCCTTCCATAGTGGTTGCACCCTGAGCTCTCTTTATGAGCTGGTCCCACCCCACTCTACACCCACCATCCCGTTCTGAGCCATCTCCCCCTGGGTTTGGGCCTTCCACTTGGGTTCTGACCTATCCAGAGGCTGTGGTATCCAAAAAGATGAGTCCCCCAGACCCAAATGCACAGGCGCAGAATGGTCATGCCCTTGGAGACGGGACAGTCCCTCTGCCAGTGGTGGAGACGGTCCCTCTGCCCCTGGAAGGGACACCCCCTCTTCCTGAGGCCCCCACTCCCTCAGGCTTCAGTGAGGGTCCCACCGCTCTGCTTCCCCATCAGGAATCACAGGCCTTGTGGGCCTGGCCAGGGCACCTATGAGCACCAGGCCCAGAGCCGCAGAGGAAGGGATGGGGTGGGGGGTAGAGAAAGGAGTGGGCTAGTGTGAGCAGGGTGGCCAGGCCACAGGCCACTCCCTTCTCACGCAGGGAGAGTGACACTGCCCTGTAGTCCCACAAGAGGACTCCAGGCCCCTGGCTCTGGGGGCAGGGGAGCTGGAAGTCTTGGTCAATTCTGCCTCGCCCTGGACCCCAGCTGCCATGGACCCTGGGGACTGCTCTCCTCTCCTCCCCTCTCACTAAGCTGGGGTCTCAGGAGCATCTGGCCTGGCCCTCCTATGAATCCTGCCTCTTTTTCTCTGTCTAGGGTCAGTGAGGGTCAGCTGGAGTCGGGCGGTCAATTCTCTGGGTTCCAGCCCAGCTTCCTTCCAATGCACTTGTCACTTTCCTGGGCAGCCAGCACCTGCCAGTGTTACCTGTGACCATGGCGGTGGTGCAGAATCCCAGCAGGGGTGAAGAACTCCCAAGCTCTGCCTCTGGGTCCTGGTTGGCCCTGCGGGGGGCGGGAATGGGAAGGGGCCGAGGGTGTGTGTATGAGGTGGTGTGCAGGTCTCCCCCTCTTTGTGTCCCAGACCTGCGGGGGGAAGGGAGGTGTGCAGGGCTCCCCCACCCCCAGTCTTCATCCCACGGCCTTGCATGGGGAGGGGGAGAGAGGTGTGCAGGCCTCCTCCGCTCGGAGTCTCTGCAGCCCCCACATCAAGCTCTCCATCTGCTCTGGGGTGGGAGCTCACGCAGGAGTTCCCAACACAGGGCCAGTGTGCACCCCAGTGGCCGATGGAGCCCAGGGCGTTGGTGTGGTGCAGTCGCTCTTTGTCACCATATGTCCGTTCACCAAGGCGAGGACTGGCAGAAAGTAGATGTGCCCCCAGCAGGAGAGGGGCAGCGGCTCAGGGTGCGGGGGCATGTGCAGTTCCAAAGGAGGGAACTGCCTGGGACCCTGAACAAGAAAAGCAGGGGTGCAGCCAGGGGTTCTGTCCTCTAGGACAGGAGTACGAGGACTCTGGCTGGGAGCCAAAAGGCTTCCAAAGGGCCAACTGTGGGCACCTGGGCGGGCAAAGGGCAGGCCCTGGCCAAAGCCATGAAGTGGAAGAGTACCCCTGCCCCTTGGGAGAATAAGATCCCCCACCCCCCAGCACAGCACATGCAATCAATGAGTCATAGGTCACGGTCACCACCTAGGGACTCCTTCTACTCAGGAGCTGTGGGGGGCCCTGACCACCACTGTCCTGGCTTCTGTTCTCCAGGTGCCAGCCCCACCCAGAGCCTGGAGGTTGCACCTGGACAGATGTGTGGAAGATAGTCCTGCCCTCTGTGGCCCTCACCTGTTCTAGACTTCTCACACCCCAGTCCCAACCTGACCCACAGGCAGGGAGTAGAGGTGGCCATGAGACCAAGGATGGAGAGGCTGGCCTGGAGGGTCACTCTAGCCCCCCCAAGTAGATGGCTCCTTCTGCAGAGCCCAGAACTGGTCAGGGGCTCTCTGGGGGTCCCAGCACCTGGCGGGATGCGCAGCCATCATGGCGTTCATTTTGGACACTGAGAGGCACTTTCCCTCAAATCTAAGTTTAAAACAACCAATCCCAGCATCCATGCTGACCCAGGTGCCCACACGAGTGTCACAGTGCCATGTGTACCACAATGCCCCCACCTGGATCAGAGTAAAACTGCACCCTAGGTTTCCACGGATGGACTCAGGCCCACCTCCCCCGGCCCCTGGAATGGGCTCCAGTGTCCACCCTCTCAGTGAGCAGCTGGGCACTGACCCGCCCAGCGCAGGCGCACCCCTGCCGCCAAGCCAATGAGGATATGTGCTGCCTGCAGGTGGGAGACCTGGAACTGTCGAGCCAGCTGCCGCCCACAGTCTCGCTGCCCCACGTCCCCGCCTGCAGGCTGTCTGGTCAGCTGTAGTCCCTTCACTGCACAATCTTCTTGCCATGCCTCCAATGTGTTTAGCCACTCTGGGGAGAGTACTCCTGCTCTGAAAGGTGAAAGGTCAGGAAAAGAGAGGGAGACTCTCGTTGAGGTGATGGATGCAGTGACTGTACCAACAGGCTCAAGTGTGTCAGAGCTGATGAGGACGGCACAGGACAGGACAAGGCTCTGTCCTTGTTCGGAGCTGATGTGAGTCGACGCAGCAGCCCCTACCTAACATCAGTTAGCCCTGCTAGGAGCTCCAGTGGCCTAGCCGGTAAGGAATTGTGCTGCCACCCCAACTGCAGCTGGTTTGAATCCACCAATTGCTTTGGGAAGAAAGACGGGCATTCTCTGTGTGACTTCCAGTCTCTGAAAACCGCTGTAGGGTCAGCTGGATGGCACGCAACATCAGTTCTGCTAGCAGTTCTCCTTGCACTCAAAGCTACCACTCATTTCTCTCCTGTTCTGAATTTCAAAAGCTTTGGCTAGGTGGAGGGCGCGACTTCTGCTAACCTGAGGGACCACAGTAAAGGGACAGGACGGAATGTTGTGACTAATGCCACACTTCTCTCATATCTTTTTATAAGCCTTACTGATCTGGCATACTTCAAGCCATTTCCTTTTTCTATTTTATTTTTTTATTATTTTTTGAGTGTGTGTACCATCAAATCAGATCTGACTGGTACAGGAGGAGATTGCCCCTTCTGCTCCAGCAGAGCATATGGTGGATTTGAACCGCGTACCGCTGGGATTGGCCATTTCCTTTTTCTAGACTCAATGTTAGGTCTAGATGTCTACAGGAGAGTTATAGTGGTACAGTGGTTAGGCATTAGGCTGCTATGACAGGTCGGAGGTTGGAGCCCCCCATCCCCCCCAGGGAGCTGAGGAGTCTGCTTCTGTTGAGATCGGTGGTCTTAGAAACCCTGAGAGGCCTTTCCGCCCTGTCCCATGGGTCAGTCACCGGCGTCAGCCCGAGGGCACAGAGCAGCACGGCCACAAGAGCAGCTGCTCTCCCCCTGCCCTCCTCCCTGCTCCCTCCCTGCCCTCCCCCCGCCCTCCCCCCCCGCCCTCCCCCTGCTCTCCTCTCTGCTCTCCCCCTGCTCTTCTCCGTGAGCCTGGGGCCTCAGGTGCTGAGTCCTCCTCCAGCCCAGGGAGAGGCCTCTGCTGCTACAGCTATTATTACCCTGTGACTCAGGCGCCCGGTATCTTGGGGTGGAGGCGGGAGTGAGGGACAGAGATGCCCAACATTGAGTGTCCCAGGGAGGTTAGGCAGGGAGGCCACGGTGACGGCTAAGTGTGGGTGGAGGCCCCTGGAGCTCGCCCTTGGCGTTGGCTGTCCAGAGGCTGATGGCCTGGTGTGGAGGAGGCGGAGGGTGGAGCTGGGGGGAGGGGCGGAGCTGCACCTGTGTCTGTGGGTCACGTGGTGTCACGGCAGGGCCTGCTCTGTGTCCGGGAGTGACTGGCTGTCCACAGTGTCCCTGCGTCGTGACGCCGGGTGGGTGTCTGGGTTCCCTTGAGCTGGAAGGGACTAGCCTATTGGCTGGGGGGGCCGAGAGGGCAGGGGCAGGAAGGATGATGGCGGGGGCGAACCCGAGCTCCCTGAGCCCCCACGAGGGGGGTGGCGCGCTGGAGGATGGCGGGGTGCGGGCCGAAGGGTCGGGGCGGGGCCTGGTGAGCTCACGCGCGGCGGGGTGGGCCCAGGACGCTGGGGACGCAGGGCAGGCGATGCGGCAGAGCGTCCGCGGGGCGCAAGAACACACGCACCGGCAGACCCGAGCCGCGGTCTGCTGGCGCCCAGGTGAGTGCGCGGCGCAGCGGGGGTTCCTGTTGATGACGGTCGCGGGCGAGGTGACTCCTGACACCCCTCGCTCCACGCCGCCTCCTCCCTGGCTCCGGGCCGCAGTCTTCGGGGCGGAGCTCCTGGCTAGGACGGGGTGTACCGCGGGCCCCGCCCGAATTGGGTCCCCGACTTGGGGGGCCTGGCGCCTGGTCCGTGGTGGGGCTAGGAGCCTGATATTGTCCGGGGGCGGAGCGCGGCCAGGGCCGGGTCCCTGCGGGGGGCGCGCAGCTGAGGTCCTGCCTCTTTCTGTCCCCCCCCCCGCCGCCCCGCACCTCTCGGCGCTGGGCATGCCCACCCTCTGCTTCGGTCTGCGCCCTTGCGGGCCGGGCGCAGCTGAGCCTGTGGCCACGTTGTCCCGCTACAGGGACCAGGCCGACTTGAGCTGCGTCCCACAGAAGCAGGGCAGGGGGCCCTTGTGCATTGCAGAGACCCAAGCACCGCCAGGCCCTCTCGCAGGGTTCTAACTGCTGTGCCCTCTGGCCTCCCTTTGACCGCCCCTTGCCCTCTCCAGCATATTTCCAATTGGAATGTCTTTGCCCAGCTTTCCTCGACTCCTACCTCAGACCCAGACACCCACCCCCACGGGCAGGAAGGCCTCCAACGCCACGCTGGGTGGGGTACCCCTCCCGTCAACCCCATCCCTGCCCCAGAATGGCTGCGCGGGGCACCCTCGAGCTCGTGTGACCGCCTGGGCTTTGTCATTCTCCGCACAGGGCTTTGTGTCCCAAAGACCAGCGCTGCCTGGTGGACAATGTGCCTGGGAACCTCTGTGCCAAGTCCCTTCTGATCTGCTCACGGGAACAGCTGCCCCACTGCCCTCCTCCGCCCCACCTTGCCTCCTGCTGCTATGAAGCCCACACTTGGCCTGTTCCTGGTGGCTCTGATGAGCCTGCCTCTGGGTAAGGTGCACGGACAGAGGGATGGACAGACCTACATTCAGGCAGACAGAGAGGGGAGCCCAAGTTCCCTCACTCCTTGCATCTGTTTCCCTGGGGTGGGGCGTGTTGGGCTGGAGAAGAGCCTTCTCTCTGGCCTATGACTCTTTCTGCCCTGTCCCCCGACCCCTAGTCCAGGCTCTGGACTGCCATGTCTGCGCCTACAATGGAGAGAACTGCTTCAACCCCATGCGCTGCCCTTCGATGGTCTCCTACTGCATGACCACCCGGACCTGTGAGTAGGGGGGCCTCGCCACTGGGCAGAAGAAGGCCTGAGGGAGAGGGGGAAGGGGGAGAAAGGGTCTCTTCCCTGTTCCTGGGAGGGGAGTCCAAAGGCAGGAGCCTCCTAGCTACCACTGGGAACTGAGGACCATGGTCTGAGAGGGACCCCACCCCCAACACTCTGTGCAGGGCCCTGATGGAGATGAAGAGGCCAGAGGAGGAGGGTGGAAACCAAGGACAGGAGCCCCAAACTCCAAAAGTGGACCCTACCCCCAGGTCTCTGGCTAGACCATCTGATGGGGATGGAGAGGGCTTTTTCTGCTTCTGAGAGAGAAGACTGGGGCAGGGGGTCTCCCAGCCGCTCCAGGGAGCTGAGGGCCTGATCCTCGGATAGGGAGGGTCCCCACCCCCAAGTCCTTACCTGGGCCATCTGGTGAGGATAGGGGGGAGGGTTCCTCTGTCCCTGAGAAGGTTGGGAGGTTGAGGGGGGGGTTCCAGGGAGCTGAGGGCTTGTGGTCCCCGCTTTAAGCGCTACCCCCCAACCTGGGGGTGTCAGGTGGGGTAGGAGTGGTTCCTCTGTTCTGAGAAGGTGGGGAGACAGGAGGAAGGCTTCTTGTAGCCTTAGGGGCTTAAGCCTGTGGCCCCCAGACAGAGGGCCATCTCAGCTGCATGCCTTTGGGGCCCAGCTCCATTCAGGTGACAGCTACCTCTGTCCCCCAGACTTCACGCCGTACAGGATGAAGGTCAGCAAGTCCTGTGTACCCACCTGCTTCGAGACTGTGTATGACGGCTACTCCAAGCACGCCTCCACCACCGTCTGCTGCCAGTACGACCTCTGCAATCACGCCGGCCTCTCGGCTCCCGCCGCCCAGGCCCTGCTCCCCGTGCTCCTGGCCACCCTGTGGGGTCTTCTCTAACACCTGGGACCCTACCTGGCCGGATGCAGCTCTTCAGAAGCACTGCCCTGAGGGAGGGTTGCGTACCTTCGACCCCCTGCCCTCCCAGACCCCTCGGGCCTCAGCCAGGCTTCCAGGGCCACACCTGTATGTTCATCCCACCTTTCCTTCCAAAACTGACTTCAGAGAAGTTTCCAGCCTCTGTAGAGCTCAGCCCTCCCGTCTCCAGAGCTCAGGGACACAAATGTGTGCTGAGGGGTACTCAGTCAGCTGGTACTTAGCCAGTGAAGGGCTCGTGGCTGAGCCCCTCCTAACAGCCTTGGAGTCAGGCCCTGCCTCAGTGGACTGGGAGTGTTCAGGGAGGTACCATAGAGACTCTTATTCTTGATTGAGGAGTCGGGCCCTGCCTCAGTGGACTGGGGGTGTTCTGGGGACAAAGGCAGAATATTAGGAACCTTTCCTTCTGGTCCTGGAGCTGGTTGTCCCTGTGCAGCAGCTAAGGCTCTGGGTTGCCCAGCATCACATGAGGAATGACTGTCCCCTTGATTGTCGGAGGATGAGTGCGAGTCCTGGGTTTCCAGCAATCCTAAGCAAAGGGAGACAGCTCAGCGTCTGAGGCTCCCCCAACTCCAAAGGCCCATCTGCATCTAGAGAGGGGTCAGGACTTGCTGTCCAGTCAGATCTCTTCCACCCAGAGCTCAGTGCATACGAACTAGGCCACCAGGGTCTCTTGACAACCAATGCCTGGCTCTCGGAAGTCGAGAGTCGAGATGGACTTCCACAGGACACCACATTGGGGTAACCAGTCGCCCAGTGACGCCTTAACCCCTCGGATCACATGGGACTGGAATACTTCTCTCGCCATGAGCATCTCCCTCCTATCACATGCTCCCCACCCGACTGGACTCTGGGACCCCAGAGCTTTCTGACATAGTGAGTCAGCGTCATCTAGAGCCCCCCCCCACAACCCACCTGGCCCACTTGAGCCTCGTCCACCGGTGGGTGTGGGAAGCACACGTCTGCCCCCACCCACCATCCACATCCCACTGACCAGGAGGGCCAGCCACCTGCCCCGTCCCATCATGATATCAGATCAAAGCGACGGCTGCTCCTGCCCTGACCACAGCCCCCAGTGCTCCTGACAGAGCTCCTGGGAGACCCAGACACTCAGCTCTCACCCCGAAGTGAGCCCCCACCACCAGACCTGTGACTGAAATTCCACCTGCAAAGCTTTGTTCCGGGCTACACTGGGCATGGAGGCAGACCGACCATGCTCAGGGGCCAAGGGGCTTGTCCTCTGGGCCTGGGGATGGAGGGAGGTGGTTGGGGGCTGCTTTGCCCTGGTTTGTTACCTGAGAGGTAGTGGGCTGTGGAGGAAGCTAGTGGTGGTAGTAGGGAGGTCCTGGGTGCATCTCCTACACGAGTGTCTGGGTGAGGAGTGAATGAACACCATGACCTCCTAAAGGGGCTTGGAGGATGAGGGGCCACCCTGGGTCAGGAGACAAGGCAGAGTTACAAACAGGACAGGTGGATGGGACGCCAGTAGAAGCTGCCCACTGGATGAGTTCCAGAGCTTGGGGACAGGCCAGGACATGTTGTCCCAGGCTAGCCATTCAAGGCCTGGGCTGTCCCTACCAGGAGTCCATTCTGGCCCCCAGATTTCTGATGGAGGTCCCTCAATGGCTGGCCCCAGAGTTAGAACAGGTTAGGATGCTGGCTAGGGCAAGGGGTAGAGCTAGACCAACTTCCAGATTTCCTCCAACAGACAGGGAGCAAAGGTCAGAATGCCAGCTGGGGCATTCTAGAGGGTCAGGAGGCCAGCTGGTGGATGCTAGAGGGTCAGGGTGCTGGGACGGCAGAGGGTCGAGATGCTGGCTGGGGGACGCTAGAGGGTCAGGGTGCTGGGACGGCAGAGGGTCAGTATGCTGGCTGGGGAGAGCAAATGAACACCCACGTGCACAGCCTTCTTGCACAAGACCGTCATCACCAACCTGGTCCTGGCCTCTTGAGCTGGACCAACCCTCCCTCTGGCCTGTCTGCATGAGGCAGAGGCCTGGCTGGCTGCCCACATTGGGTCCTGGATTCAAGAACAGGAAAGGAGCTGCGGGGTTTGAGGGAGCCTCCCACACCCAAGCCCCACCCCATAGCCACCAATCCATCCATCCAGGCCAGGACAGACGCTCTGCTCCCGGCCCCACAGGCAGTGTCTGGCCTTGCACCTGCCCTACTCCCCAGCCTGGAAGGAAACAGGTCAAGGCTGGAAGAGAGGCAGGAGTTCAGACAGGCGACTTGGGCTGGGGCACCAGGTTTGAGCTTACACTTGTCAACACTTTTCTGGTTTTCACACATCAGAGATGCCATGTCTCTGAGCCCCCAGCACCTTCCCATGGAAATCAAAGCCTCAGTTTACACACGCAGACTCTAATAGGGCAAGGAGCCCACATGTGCACGCTTACTAAACTCGACCAACTACTCACATGGTGTTTCTGTTTTGTGTGCTTGCCATATGGACCCACGTAGAAATGTTCGCTACAGATTAGTAAGCCCGAGTCAGCCTGTTCAAGCTTTCCTTATTGGGTGCTCGGTCTTCTCACCCACACTGCCTGGTGAGGGACACTAGCAAGCCCTCTTAAAGATAAGGAAACTGAGGCATGCCTGAAAGCCCCTGCCTACTGGTCCCTGTCCACACTGCAGTCTCTTCCTGCAGGGTGTAGGACGTGGGGTGGAATGGCAGAAGGGGTAATAAGGGGGGCAGGGGTACTGCCGGCTCCACTGGGGGCTGGTCCCACTGTGCAGGTCTCAGCACAGAGAGCTCCCTCAGGAGGATGGGGGCTCTCCCCAGGGGGAGTGGAGGGGTCTCCCAGGGGAAATGGAGAGTTCTTCTAGGGAGAGTTGAAGGCTCTCTGCAGGGGAAGCTCTCCCAGGAGAAGTGGGGACTCTTCCTAGGGGGTGGGGGGCTCTCCGCAGGAGGAGCAGGGGTAGCTTTCCCAGAAATCTCTCAGGGGGAGTGGGGTCTCCCTAGAGGCCCCGAGAGGCTGCACCTGCCCAGCTAAAATGGGAGCCAGCCTGCCTTGTCCAAGGAGCAGCACCTGGAACAAATATGGCCCCAGGGACTGTGCCCTTCAGAGCTGCCCACAGAGCTGGAGGCAGGATGGCCAGCAACAAGGTGCAGGCGAGGACAGGTGTGCAGCTGCACCCACACCCTCTAGGGACAGGAGGCCGCAACACCTCTCTTCTCTGGAGGTTGGTTTGGTGGTGAGGTGCTTCTGTCTGGTGTTTGTAAAATCCTGGAATGAAATGAAGCAGTGTACCACCCTTCATGCCTGCTTCCTGTGGGGCTCTTGTCAGGACCACAGTTTTTGGGCTCCAGCCCTTCAATTGTTCTATCTCTGAGGTGGGAGGCCTGGCGGAGTTCTCCAGCCCCTGCCTGGCATACAGGCTATGTGGCTCCCCTGTGCATCCTGCTGCCCCTGCCCAGCTCAGAGCTCCACGTTGCTCGGAGCACTGCCCTCATTCTGTACCCAGGCCACAGAGAGGTCCCCGTATTTCCGCGTGAATGAATGAGCAAGTGGAGGCGCGCCTGGACCTCTGCCCCACAAGGCGCTGGCCCGGGCCTCCCAGTCCAGCTGGTCCCGGCTTCATCAGTCTCTGAATCTTGTTCACTTGGGCTGTGCAGGGGGCACTTCAGCTGCTGGTAGAGAAGGCCCATGTCCCCCAGGTCCTGAGCTGACCCTAGCCTGGGGCAGGAAAGGGTGACCCTGGGGAAAGGAAGAGAGAAGGGCTTGACCAGGAACTGTCCCCACTTCTGTACTCCTGGTTCGCCTCTTGTCATCCTCTCCTTGGGAGGGGCGGGAAGGTGCCAGGTGCAGGAGGTGGCACTGGAGACCCCACACTGATCCCAAGTCCTCCTCCTCCTGGATTGTCCCTCCTGACTGTACTCCCACCCCAGCCTCAGCCCCTGGAGCCTAGCAGGCAGAGGAGATAAAAAGCGCTCAGGCAGCTAGTATAGACACCCCAGCAGACAGCCCTGCAGACCACTGGGGGGGGGTCCTGGCTGGCCCATTCCCTCCCCCCAGACAGTCCTGGCTGGCCCATACCCCTGCAGACCACTGTGGGGTCCTGGCCGGCCCATCCCCCCCCCCAAGACATCCTTGCAGATACCTGGGCATGGTGGATAGCCCTAGCGGGCCAATGCCGCCAAAGACAGCCTTGCAGACACCTTGGGGGGGGTGTCCCTGGCCTGCCCATCCCCCCACAGACAGCCCTGCAGACACCCAGGGTCCTGAGCTGGCCAACTCCCCACCAACATCCCTCTGCCCAGCAGACACCCCATGCCCCTCTGCTCACTCCAGCAGTGCCAGCTCCATCCTGCTCACTCCGCTCGGCCCTTTATTTCCAGCCACGGATCCTCAAAGTACGGCAGTCACGGCAGTGACGGCTCTCAGGATTCCCACAGAAACAGGTCACAGCAACAGCTTCCTCCCGCCCTCTCCCAGCCCTGCGAGGGACCAGGCCAGGGCCAGATGAGGAAGCTGAGGTGCCCAGAGGGACCTGGAACTGGGACCAGCTCCGTGCTCCGCCCTGGCCTCTGCTGGCAGCCTCAGATGCAGGGGGTGCTTGTGGGCTAGCCCTGGGAGACGAACGTCAAACATCATCCTTTGCGGAGCTTAGTCCTCCGTAGTTCCAGGTCTTCCAGCCACAGTTGTCCCTGTTTTGAGGACAAGGTCTGGCCAAGGGTGCAGTCAGCACTGGGGCCAGGTTCTTGGCAAACCAGCAGACAGCCCAGGGGCCGGGCGGGGCGGGGTGGGGTGCGGACAGCAGATATAAGCACCGTCAGGGAGCCCCAGCTGCCTCCTGACCCTGCCCTCATCTTGTCCCCACTGGACAGCATGCGTCTCCTCACTGCACTGCTGCTGACCGCTGCCCTGAGCGCGGAGCTGGGTGAGTTGGAGGACAAGTGGCCCCTCTTCCTGCACTCCCTCACCATCCTGGCTCCTTTCCCAGGACCCCACGCCTGTCCCCCCAACCACCTTTCCCACTCACACCCTCCCCACCCCCTACAGCGGTTCCCGTCTCCCTCAACCCCTCTGACCCTTCCCTCCCCACATATCCAGCTAAGCCCTGGACATTTCCACTTAACCCCCCCAACACACACCCCTACTCTCCGCTGGCCTCTGGCCACTGGCCACAAGCAAAGTGGCCTTTCTGAGCGTCTTTGGGCGGACCCTCAGTTGGTCAGCTCAGCTCTTGTTTTGGAGATCCCCTCCTGGGACCCCTTCTACCTGCCGCCAGTGAATGGATGGGCCTCCCAGCCCCTCTGGCCCTCCTCTGTCTGGTCCACCCGAAGCCGCAAGGCCCCGCCCACAGTCTAGCCCCTCCCGCAGCCTCAGCCGCTCTGGTCCAGGTGCCGCCCACTGGTCGACAGGATGTCTCGCCCTGGTCTCCCCCTCATCTCTCCGCCCAGTGGGCTTGTCCAGTCCTGATTCACGATGGCATCCCCGTCCACCCAGACCCTCCAGTTCTCAGCTCCCCGCCTTCTGCTGCCAAAGCCTTGCTGTCCCTCTCCTAGAGGTGGGATTCCAAGGGGCAGCGAGATTGGGACAGAGGTCTGGACTGTACCCCACAAAAGCGAGGCTCTTCCTTGGAATCCTCCTGAAGGGGGTGCTCTGTATGCTGGGCTCCGTGGGGACCTTCTGTCCTGGTGAGGCGTCCGGCTGTCTTTCCTGTGAGAAAAGGGGTCCAGGCCATGTCCCTGACCACCTAGGACCACCCTAGGAGGCGACGGGGACTCAGAGCTCAGCTGAGTGAGCTTCCCTCAGTAGCAGGGCTGGGTCAGGGTGAGCGCTTCTGGCAGGAGTGACCACTCAAGGTCACCCAGGCTGGTCCAGCCCATTGCAGAGTCTCAGGTGTGAAGAGTCCACTGCTTGCCAGACTGGCCTCTAGGGGCCTAGCGGACCTCCTGGGGGAAAATGGGCAGTGATCAGAGAATCTATCTCCGTGAGCCCTCCTTTACCCTCAAGGCCCCAGGGTCCCCAGACTATGTCCCTGAACCCCCTTTCTCTGGGAGCCAGGGAGAGAGGGGCATACGGCTCACAAGAGCACACAGAACCGGAGCCCACCCCTCCTCACTCCCACGGCTCTCCTCTCAGTCCCGCCCCACCCGTCGAGGAGCTCTGTCCACTCACAGATGACCAGCGCAGCGCTGCCTCTGAACGTGGTGCCCATGCACACGGGGCCCCCAGCCCGTATTCATTCATGAGCAGTGACTGTATCCCACTGGCTAAAGGGCCAGGAACTTGAAACAGTGGCCTCTCCGCACTCTCTCCTGGGGTCAGGAGGGTCTGCACACCTCAGGCGAGTGAGGACTCTGGCCCTGAGTGTGATGGGTGACGGTCAGACAGCTGGCCCTTGAGGGTGGGAGTGGGTGCGGGAGGGCTGTTCCCTCCTGTGTATTAGTGTGTCTGTCTCTTTCTGGCACCTACAGCACACAGCATGTCCTGCTACCAGTGCAAGGGCTTCGGAGGATGTATGCGGAAGAGCAGCTGCCCCCAGGCCTCCACCCACTGCGTGTCCGTAGCCACCCGTGAGTGAGGCTGTGAGGGACCAGGGTCCCCTGCCCAGACTTAGGCCACGTGGGGAGGGATAAGGCTTGGTCCAGGCACCCAGCAGGGATGGTGTCCACCCAGTCTTAGGGCAGGCTGAAGGGAGCCCAATGCTGGGGGCGTGGGAAGCTGTCAAGCCCTTGGCTGTGGTGGGCCCTTGGCTCTAGTGGGGGGGGTCCGAACCTTAGGGGTCTCTGCAATCCCTCCCATCCATCTAGGACCCCTTAACAGTCCCGTGGACCTGCCTCTGGTCACCAAGTCGTGCTCCAGTGGTTGCCCCAACATTAACAACCTGGCCCCCCATGCATCCCTGGCCTGCTGCCAAGCCAGCCTCTGCAATGCGGACTGATGATACCCCAGCCCTGCCCTGCCCAAGATGTCCAGCACCACCAGAGGACCCGGGCCCCCACCCTGAAGACCCCTCCCAGCCACAGGAGAGCTGCAGAGAGCGGCCAGGCCTGCGGAGTATCTGCCGTTCAGCACTGCTCCTTCCTTGAGTCCTGCCGATGCCTGGGCTACTCTTTGTGCTGCCCTGCAAGTCCCCAAATAAAAGTCCTGGCTGCAGCATGGGCCCATCTGTCCACTATAAGCGGGACCCTGGGTCCTGAGTTTGGGTTGGGGGGGAGTAGGCCCAGGTGGGCACCTGGCCTCCCTGGCCCACGTGTCCTGTGGCGATCCATCTCCTGAACTAGGTGTCAGGCCCTGCGGCCAGCCAAGCCCCAGAGTGGACACAGCCACTCAGCTGGGAGGGGGAGCTGAGGACCCTGACTCAAAAGGGCCACCTACCTGAGCCCTGAGGGCTGCCCAGGAGTGAGTCAGAGGAAGCCCCCCCTCCCAGGGGGGTACAGAGATGCTGAGGGGGAGGCTGAGGAGCTGCGTACAGGGCTGGGGGCACAGCCACGTCCTCGCTCATGTGCGTGCCTCGCTCTCAGTCTCTCTCTCTCTCTCTCTCACACACACACACACACACAGAGCCAACTACTTGGGGAAATCCCAGGCTCCTCCTTGACCTGGGGCTCCAGCTCTTCCAGGCAGGTGTCTTCCTCCTCCTAGCTCCACCTGCATGTTCCTTCAACCCTACCTTTCTGGTTCCCAGTGAGCCTTACCCATCCAGCCCTGGTCCCCTCCCATCGCGTGTCCTCTCAGGGAGGCTCCACCTAGCACCCACACCCAGCAGTGCCTTGGCCTCACCCCCCCCCCAATGGCCACAGAACTGAATGTCAGGAGAAGCCTGTCAGTGAGCTGGGTGAATGGGGCCAATGTGGTGACAGCTGTGATGATGTGACCAGGGTGGACCTGGGCTGGGTGAGCTAGCCAGGGGCACAAGCTGCCCAGCAGACACTAACCATCGGCTCTTGGCAGGCCCTGGGCTGTAAGGGTGGATGAGACCAGAACCCTGGGGTCAGAGATGGGGCTGCTATGCTGGTACCCAGCTCACCAGGAAAGCCTCTGCCCTACCTGGTCTTGCCTGCTCTCATTTTGGCAAAGTTCTCATGAGGAATAAACCCAGGACAAGGACATGGGATCACAGAGCAGAGCAGTGAGGAAGGGAGGTCCCCCAGAGGGCTGCACAGTGAGGCCCAGTGGGGTGGGGACAGCACGTGGTGGTGTCACAGGTACAGGCAATAGATGTCTGAGATTCCAAACCAGCCCAATGCAGCGGAGGGGTGTGGCGGGAGGAGTGAGATAAAGGGCCGTCCGGTCAGTCAGGGTGAAACACGGGATGCTCTCAGGTGGGGTGGTGAGCTAGCTGGCCAGCGCTTGGACCTCCGCTCCCTCCTTCACAGATGACTGAGTCAAAGACCAGCTTGTAAGAAGAGAGGCTTTTAAACATAATACAGAATAGGCAGGTGAGCACATCACTCAAAAGGTTAAACGCAGTTTGCAAATGACCTGCAAGAAGTGAAATCTTACGTCCGTACACAGATGTGGAGCGCCATTCATGGTTGTCAACAGGTGGAAACCACCCCAGTGTCCACTAACAGATGAATGGACAAGCCTAAAGTTGTTTACTGGTGTTGCAGATTTATCTAAAACAGCTTTCCTGAGGGAGCTCTGGGGACCTAGTGCCAAGAAGCTGCACTGCAATCCAGAAGGCATGCAGTTCAAATCCACTAGATCCTCCACTGGAGAAGGACAGGCAATCTCCTCCTGTGTCAGTCAGATACAACTCAATGGTACAAAACAAGAAAAGAAAGGGGGGGGGATAGTAAAAAAACAAAACCCCACGGCTTTCCAAGGCCATTTAGGCTTTCAGCACATGGCTGGGCAGAACATGAAAGTAGAGTGTATTGTTTATCTGCAAACAGACTGGCCTGTGACCCCATGCCACCAGGTTTAAACTGGACAGGTTTAGAAGTCAAGGTAGGATTCTCAGTATTCTCCAGGAAGAAGCAGAGAAAAACAGTATGTGTCCCTCAAGGCCAGAGCTTCCTGTGCCGGCCAGACGGAGGCCTCCAGGAAAGCAGCTGCAGTCGCAGCAGAGAAGCAGAGCCCAGCAGGAGACACACTTGACCTGGAATTGCTGCCCCACGCAGCAGGGTCAGGGGCTGTTGTCCAAGCTTGCTGGAGGACTGAGGATAGACGTCATAATCGGCAAGACTAAGAGAACTTGGTAACACTGACCTAGTGGTAAGGCTGAAGGTCAAAGGACAAGTGAGCAGGCTTGAGAAGTTGCCCTGTCTGAGGAATTGTATCCTGTTGCCAACCTGAATTGTAACCTATTAGCTTCCCTACAATTCCCATAACCCAGAGTACGGTCCTGTAAGATCTGTGTGGCCTTTGCAAGCTATTTTAAACCCTGAAGTAGAGCAGGAAGAGAGCTCTGGTGCCCTACTGGTAAGAAGCTGTGCTGGAATCTCAAAGACATGTGGTTTGAATCCATCAGCTGCTCTGCAGGAGAAGGTTGGGCAGTCTCCTCCCATGAGATTTACTGTCTCTGAAAACTTGCTGGAGGGTCAGCTACGGGTTGGTTCAGATTCTGTGACATGTGACATACAACAGCCGCAGCAGAGTAGTAGGATTGGTGTTGGGATCAGTAGAAGGAGTGGGAGCAGGGAGGCCTGACCTTATGGTAATTTGTTTTATACTGTTGGTGCTGCTGATGCAGACTATTCCATGCTATGAAGTTAACAGAGGTCAGATGGGGCCATCCTCGTGTCATCTACCATTCTTCCTATAGCAACAGATTCAGACACACACACACACACACACACACACACACATCAATGAAGAATTGATACTTGCTACAACATGGTGAACCTTGAAAACATGATGCTTAGTGAAATAAACTACTCACCAAAGACCACATACTACATTTTCTAAACTGAACTGTGTCCCCAGAGTTTGTGTCAGCATGGCTAGTCCTGAGTCTAGACACTGTTCCATCTTCCTCCGTGATCTGATGTGATGTGCTGAGCCTCTGTGTTGTAAATTCTCCTCTCCTCCATGATGCTAATGTGGCAGGATTAGAGGCAGTTACAGCAGTGCCTTTGAATTGTGTTGGTGATGAATATAAAAGTCCCAGCGACAGCCAAAAGAAGAAACAGGTGTGTCTTGGAGAAGGTACAGCCAAAGTGCTCCTTGGAGCCCAAGATGATAAAGCTTCCTCTCACATACTTTGGGTATTTTGCTAGAAGCTTTTCCATGGAGAAAGGGCATCATGTGTGGAAAGGTGCAGGGATGGTGAAGGAAAGGAAGACCCTCAGCCAGGTGGATTGCCATAATGACGGCTGCAATGGGCTCAAGTGTGTCAGAAATGATGAGGATGGCACAGGACAAGGGAGGGTTCAGAGCTGTTGTTCATAGAGTTGCTATGAGTCATGCTCGACTTGACAGCACCTAACAGCAAAAAACAGTGTTTCCTAGAGGCAAGGACGGCGAGGCTTTGTCTTATATTCTTAAAGCATGTTGTAAAGAGAGGCCGGCCCATGAAGAATGACATCATCCTTGGATATACAGAGGATCAGTGAAAGAAAGGAAGATTCTTCATGAGGTGGATTGACACTGTGACTGCAAGATGGGCTTAGGTATAGTGGCTGTGACGAGGACAGCACGGGACCAGGCAGGGTCTTGATCTATTGAACATAGTGGATCATACAAGGATGGTATGGGACTGGGTAGGGACTTGGTCTGTTGAACACAGGGTCACTGTGAGTCAGAGTCAACTCGATGGCACCTAACAGCAACAGTGTGTTCACCAGGCACTATCTTAATCCTAATCTATAGGCTAGGTTGTATTTGAGTCAATTGCTTCTGATATATAAAGAGAATGGATGCCTTTGAGCTGTGGTGCTGGAGAAGAGTGTTGAATATACCATGGACTGCTAGGAGAACAAACAGGTTTGTCCCGGAGAGGGTGAAGCCAAAATGCTCCTTCGAGTCAAGGATTCTGAAGCTTCGTCTGAAATACTTTGGGCATGTTGCAAGGAGGGACTGGTCCTTGGAGAAGGACATCATGTTTGGCAGAGTGGAGGGACAACATAGGAGAGGAAGACCCTCGATGAGATGGATCGATTCTGTGAGTGGAGTGGTGGGAATGAGTGTGTTTGAGATGGTGAGGTTGGCACAGGATAGAACAGCATTTAGAGCTCTTGTACATAGGGTCGCTATGAGTCAACAATGACTCGATGGCACATAACAACAACAACAACATATAAAGCGATTAAACAAATGAGCAGAGACAGAGGAGCATTCTGCCCTGAAGAAAGAAGAGCTGGGGATGAAGTGCATCCTTGGGATCCAGGGTCCCTGTGCTAAGAACCTCTTAGACACAGGGAAGACTGATGTGGAGACACACGGAGACCTACAAGGAATGCTGGGCCCTCAGACGCTGAAAGAAGCAAGACTTTGCCCCAGAAATGTTGGACATGGAGTAGGTTTCCGTTTGTCCTGGCCACCTACTGGCGATGTCTGTTACAGCAGCAGCTCTGGATCTCTAAGACACGCTCATTGCTGCTTCTGAGGTGAGCAGAGCTGAGATCTAGATGGAAAGCGGCTGCTGGATGGCTGGGCCTGAGGAAGACAGATGGGTAGGTTTCTTTCTGAATGCTGGGAATATTCCAAAATATAGTGCATATGCCTGTCAATCCAGCCCGCTGTCATCCAATGTCCACTACACAGTCTGTGGAGCAAGATGTCATGTGGGTGCTGTGTGAACACCATGTTACATAGAGACAGTCCCGGAGCCTAAGTTTACAAGCTCAGTTTCCAAATCTACCTTTAAATCGAATTTGTACGTAAGTTGTAACAATAGGTACTATTCGTACATAGTGTAAGTTAGTCATTCATCTGTCTTAGTGGACCTTCTTATGAATAAGAACACGAAGGAAACACTTTCAGGTCCACAAA